CCACTCCTGGAGCCGCGGCAGCATCACTGACGCCCGTGCGTGCCGCCAAGAGCGGTCGCCGCCTTTGCGCTTAAGATTGAGGTCGAGGTACAGAGCGAGGCCGAGGCCCGACGAGGCCATCGAAGGCGGGCGCCGACGTCGTCATGCTCGACAACTTTACCGGCGACGGCGTCAGGGTGGCGTCGCGGAGTCTGAAAGGAGAAGTGGGCTGGCAAGAAGCACTTTTTGCTCGAGGTCTCGGGTGGGTTGACCATTGCGAATGCCGCCCAGTATGTGTGTCCGGGTATGTTCTCTTCCCTTCACCCCTCATCATCCCGCGCACCCTGCGATGTCGTCTCTATTTGCATGTTCGCTGACGAATACAGACGTCGACATCATCTCGACAAGTTCCATTCACCAGGGCGTAGGTTATGTAGACTTTTCCCTCAAGATCGATCACTAGAAATGGTCGACGTTCAAGAACCAAAGGATCACCACACACGTGCCACCGTGCTGACCATGACCGACGCCTACTCCTTTCCTGCACACTGTCGGAAGACGGGATCACATTCGCTACGGGTGTGTTCCTGACTTGCATTGCATCGCAAACATGACTCTAGCTCTCGTCCCGTTCACATGGACACACGCAGCCCTGGCATCGATATCCGGTCCAGCCCCCTGCAGATAACCCACAGCCTCGCCTTGCACCCTCTGATCCTCGACTGCCGACCTAGAATGCAAATCCCGGACTATTCGCCGTCACTGCGGCAACAGCCAACAGTGACGGACGTCTGGTTTCTCGTCGTCGGCACGTCAAGCGCTGGGTTCGATGTGAAAAAGTCAGCCGGTCGAAGGCTGAGTTGGTGGATCTCGACAGGCCTGCGTCTCTTGTTAGCCTGCCTCCTCTTGCGCGGTCGACCAGGCTTCACTTACATGACAGGCCAGTCCTCGACACGAGGATTGTGCGTCAGCCCGAAAACAGCCCACAGAACCGGCGCACTGAGTCTGCCCTTGACCTCACCTTCGCTAGCGGCATCTCCATTGGCCCCATGCCTGTCTGCAGCGCCCAAGAACCAGTCGTCTCGCTTGACCATGTCGTACACGCCGCCCGTCTCCTCCAGGCTCTGATTCGTAAACTCGCCCGCCGCCCAGAGCTCGCCCTCTCGGTACCCGGTCACCCAGGCGTGGTGCTGCGCGAACCTGGCCCGGCGCGCCTGCCGGCTCTCCTCGTCGGCGAGCAGGAGCTGCGTCGCCGGGGCTGTCAGCTTGTACCCGACATGGCGGCCGGACACGTCATTCTTCTTCGTGGCGTTCTCCAGGCGGATGACGCGGTTCAGCTTCGGTTCGGCGTCGACCCAGCACGCCCTCTCCACCGTCTTCTTCCGAACCTCGTAGTAGTTGCCAAACGGGTTCGTCGCCGGGTCCTGCCTCACAGGCACGCTCTCCTCGACGACGACGCGCGACTGGCCGTCGGCGTACGAGTCGATGGCCGGGTCGATGCGGATGGCGAACATGTGCTGGTGGTTCTGTGCCAGGACGCCGGGCGCCACGACGTTGCCGTAGCGGGACGTCTTGCCGGCGTCAATGGCCACGACGCTCATGATGCCCGTGGCGCGCGTCTCGATCGTGATACCGCCGGCCGTGTCGAGCTTGTAGGCAAAGACGTACACGTAGTTGGCCATGGTCACGGCGCACTGGACGACGAGCTCGCGGTGGCGGGCCGCGACGGCGCGTTTCGTGCGGTAGTTGGTGTGCTTCCACCCGATGCCGTTGTCCTGCTCGTGCAGACAGACGGTCGCCTTGACCAGCTTCGGGTCGCCCGAGGGCTCGACGAGGAAGTTGTCGAAGTAGTGAATCGCACCCAGGCAGTCGCAGCCCAGCTCGAGGCTGTTCGCCGAGAGGCCGAAGCCGCCGTCGCCGAGATCGAACGCTTGCTTGCGGTGGAACGGCGGACGTGGGTCGGCGTACGGCACCGTCAGCTCGCTGTAGCTGAGGCGGTAGATGATGGGCCGGTTGTCGTAGCAGAGGTCGTGGAGGACTGCGCCTTCTCTGGGGGTGAAGCCGAGGCGGAAGCGCCACTTTTGCCACTCCACGAGGTTGTCGGTATGCACCGTGAAAGAAGCCCCTTCTGGCTGCGTAATGTTGATGGGCTTCATGTCTGTCCGCAGAGGCCGGTCGAGAAGCTCCTCGATATATTCTGCAGGCTTGACGTTCTCGAAGAGTGACCTTGGGGCAGCCTGTCGAGGGTGGGCGCCGATGCCATCTTCCTCACCCCCCGTCGCCAGGCGATCGATGCGGATGACCTCGCCTGTAGCGAGGTCTACGACGGGAGAGATGGGAATGTGATTGCCGTAGTAGTTCGAATCGGGATTCTTGCTTGACGTGTCGCGGGCAAAGACGAGTCCTTGCATGACCCGGGGAACGTCCTCTCCAGGATCAGGGCCCCCATACGGCCACGGATCAATGGCGATGACAAAGTGCTCGGGTATGGCGAACTCAGCCAGGGCATCTTTGAAAACCTGCGAGTTGACGCACGCATCTTGGAAGATGCCAAACTCCATGCTAGTTCCCGTCAGTTGCTGCCATTTCACTCTGGCAGGCAGATCGTCCTACAGGCTTATGCTCGCTTGGCGCTTGGGATCCGCAACACGTCGCTCGACTGGCTTCCCAAGCCCCAGGTCAATGATGGACTGAGTATACTGTACCGACTTGGAGGCAGCGTGGATGACATCGTACTGAAGAAGGGCCAGGCGCGGCGGCCGTGGGGTATCGTCGGTCAGGCGGCCCTCATGCTCAGCCTGGAGGAATGGGACAAGCTCTGACTTGACAGGCTCTTGAAGACAGCCGGAACGGAAGAAGAGAGTGTGTCCGGCTTCGTGCAGCTTGACGACGTCGCGAGCCTGCTCAAGCTCGGCCTTGGTGAGGGGCGACAGTGGGTGGACCACCATGGCGAGGACGCGATATGCCGCCTGATGAAGGTACCCTGCTTTGACAGCTGAAACAATGAAATGGCAACATTTGGCCTCCTATATATACTTTTGAGTGCATGGTACTCCAACCTCGAGAATGGTATTGTTGTTGAGAAGTTGATTAACCGAGGTTGACGGCGTGTTCTGAGTTTAACTCAAAGGTGTCTTATCTCGAATAAAATGTATAATAAGTGAGGTATATAGATAGTGAAGTTGTTCCCTGGATTATGGGTACGGCATTGTCTAGAATTAATTTTTTATCTCTCTGTGAATATGGATTTAACTTCTGAAAAAGGACGACTTACACTTTTACTCTTGAAGTACGGAATCATAAACATACAACAGTATCTAGCCGTCATATAAAGATAGAGAATATCCCTAGTAGCATTCATATGTGCCTACAGCTTTATATTTGCTAGAGTAATGAACTGTAGATTTACTACGTGTTAGGCATATTTGTCGGGCTAAAGCGAAGCGGATCCACGCAGTTGTCGATTTGGCGAGCCCTCGCAATCAGATATCAGGTCTCAGTCTCTTTGCAGCCTTGAACTTGGCTCTTTCAAGTCTTTAGTAATCTATTTATGCTTTTAAGAGTACACGAACCCTTCTTCATGGTTCTCATCGAGCCCTCGGCAACTACATCGCATTCCCTCGTGTCAGACTCCTGACAGTATATAGGTATCAACTGGAGAGCGCACATAGCTACGCATACTGGCCATGATGGATTACATAATTTAAACTGATACGATAGATGTACCTAGATTTTGCATGCATCCAAGCAGTTGCGGCTCTTGTGCCGCTCGTGCTAGGACAAGTCTAGGGGGCCGGGCAGGCGTCGCAGCAGAACATGACCGTCGCTATATGGCTGTTCTGTAGGTGTCAGATGGCTGAATGTGTCTATCTGCGTTTTTAGGCCACGCAAGCTTATACATATAACGTAGGCATGTACCAGGCCACAGGCGGCCACAGGGCAGGTCATTCTATTCCATTCGTATGGTACTCGAACCCCTCAGCTTCGCCATCGACGATACCTTGGCGACTGCATTGCTTTCTTCCAGACCGGCCCCCTCACAGTAGTGACCCTTGGGCGTTGATGTTACGGGTTAGACCCGCTGGCGGTATATGGGCCTGGGGCCTGGACCTGTACGAAGGCGAATCAATTGAATGAGCGAACGCTGATTCAATACGCATCCTCTTAGCTCGATTGAATAGCTGCCGCAACGCACCGACGAGCGTGTGAGGTCTGCCGCTCAGCTCTTCTGGGGCCGACCGTAGGAACTGGTCCTGGTTAAACGGCTCTTGTAAGCGATCCTATAAGCATCTACCTTGAGAAAGCATGGGAGGGTGTGTAGCCCACGGCAAACCAGAGCTACAATGACCATCGCCAACAGCCAGCGCAACGCGTTTTACCAGGTGCCTTAGTCGGTAGGTTGGAAAGGCATACCACTTCAAACAGAGAGCTGTAAGATGCAGACACTTTGTGCTGGCTTCGTGAAGGAGTCATTCGGCAATCGATGACATGTTGTCCCAATAACTGTAACGTGGCGAAACAACGTCGCACTGCCACTTTGATCTATCTACCGTAGCATTTTCGAGTACTACTGTCAACGACATCGTGTTTGAACCTAGACGTTATCATCCAGGCCAACAGCTAGTAGATCTCAGACTTTGAGTCCATGAAAGAATTTCACAGCCCAAGCGGTCTATGTCGCTGACTCGATTGGGTGTCAGAAACACCATCAACGCACCGAACACCCATCCCCACATAAGCAGATTTGTCAAGGTGTCAACAGGAAAGCCGAGGGGACGCCACGTCATTCCATAAAAGATCGTCGACCAGCGCGCCGTGCCATCCGTGCCATTGCGAGTGGGTGGCCTAGCGGTGGTGGTCCGTAGCGATGCGTGGTGAGTGGGATCACGAAGCGGTCACAGCGGCCACAACTGTGGCAGCTGAGGAGACACCGGTGTTCCCTCGCCAGCGAGTCCCAGGC